CAAGTAGCTTATAAACGACTAGACAATATAAGCATGTACAGCCAACAATAAAATACAATGTGAAAAGTATTTTTTTGAGACTTTGGCCTAGCTCATCCTCATTTCCTGGGCTCAAGTGATCCTCCTGCTTCAGTCTCCTAGAAGCTGGGATTACACACATGCGCCACCATCCTTGGCTTGAAAAGGTTCTATGGTACAGGAAAGCTTAGAGCTGGTCCTTGAAAATTCAGGAGTAAAATGAGGAAATGGAAAAATGCATTTTGGATAAAGGGATTGATAGGGTCCAAGGTGCACGGCTTCAGGTTTGGGTAGGACAGATCCTGGCAGCTGACACCCAGGGAAGCAGGATACAGAAAAAGGAGAAGAGTCCAGAAAGCAAGGGTTAAGATTTACCACTTGGGCAACAAGAGTTGAGTATTTTATTAATACATATTTTAGAAAAGTAAGTTAGTTCTTCTTTAAAGAAAATTAAAATCGACTCTACTGATGATATTGTTTACGTTGGGCCAATGGGGAAGTATTGAATTTTTTACACTATAACCAACTTGTGCAAGAAGAGTAAAAGAGTAATTTTTTTTTTTTTAAAGAGATCTTACTATTGCCCAGGCCAGAGTACAGTGGTACTGTCATAGCTCACGGTAACCTCAAACTCTTGGGATCAAGTCACCCTTCCACCTCAGCCTCCTGTATAGCTAGAACTAGAGGCACATGCCACCATGCCTGGCTAATTTTTTGTAGAGACAAGGTCTTGTTATGTTTCCCAGGCTGGTCTCAAACTTCTGGCCTCAAGTCATCATCCTGCCTCGGCCTTCCATAGTGCTAGGACTACAGATGTGAGCCACCATACTCAGCCAAAAAAGAGTACTCCTTAATATCTCTATAAATAGTACAAATCACAAAATCTGTTATCCAAATGGAAGTACTTTTGAGAATAAGAAGGAGGTACTTTTATATCCCCAAAGTGGGAGTGTCCCAGAGAAATTGAGAGGTAAAGTCACCCTAGAGTCTAGAGTTCTCTTCATTTATATATAGTCTGTCAATTTCCTTTACTTGGAAAGAAGCAGACAAAACCTTGATTTGGAAATCATAACTCAGACTCAACTAAAAAGTCTTTTTGGTTTAAAACAGTTATTGTCAGATGAATGTTTAGGCAATTGGAGTCAGGCACTGTTCTAAGTACATCACACACATTCAGCCATCTAACCTCGCATACAAAAACTGTGAGGCAGGTATTATTATGAGTATTGGTCCTACTTCCTAGGTGAAGAAATGGAAAAACTGCGTTAAAGTGACATGCCCAAGGTTACCTATCCACATAGCTGGTGCTAGAGGCAAGATTCCAATCCAGGTGGTTTGGTGCCAGAGCTAAAGTCCTAATCCATATCACATTGCCTATCGGACTCTCAGCTTACTTGCCTCCTAAATTTGAATTTTAGATGAACAATAAACATTTTTTCTATTATAAGCATATTCTATGCAATGTTTGAGATAACTCTTCTCCCTCCTACTAACCAAGGAGCTCATTTACCCTCTTTTGTTGGTTGGACACGGGTGTGGGTCCCTGATTGCTGAGTCTTCACCACTACTCTTGCTGCATCTGCTGAAGTGTTTTTCTTGATGGTATAGACTATAGACCATCATCTCTCAGTCAGAATCAGCTCTGCCTCTACTCCTGATTATGCTGGAGATGGCTGGCCTCAGCCTCCTCTCCTATCCACTGGAGATGTGTGTTTGCATATTCATATGAATAATGCAAGCATTAAGGACTGTCATAGAATATTTAAGAAGAGACTAGTAAGCTTGATTTAAACTAGAAAAACTCCTCCGCTTAAGTGGAAAATAGTTTTGTTTGCTTAAGTTTCTGAGCAAGACAAGTTAAATTCCACGATACGGCTGTATCATTCATTACAGCTCACGTAGAAACCCTATTATGGAGAGACTTGTTATAAGGAAAAACTGATGAGTTGTTAGCAATGACTTAAAACCAAACTAATAAGTTCTTGGTTCTGCCACTAGGTTATAGTTTTCTATTGATTCTCCTCATGGCCTGCCACCTAGGAACGCATATTCTTAGGAGGCAAGCAGTTGGGGAGCAGCCTACGAATTCTGGGTTCCAGTTCCAGCTCTACACACAATTCTCTAGGCCATGGTTTTCATATTTCTAATGCTGGAATAATAACGTGCCACACAATATTCTTTGGAAGTTCAAATGAAAGGTGGCAAGTAAAACATAAAATACAGTAAATGTAGGTCAGGGTTGACACCTCCACAGCCCATCCTGTGCTCTTGCTTGTCTCCTTGATTCCTGCCTCTCACTGTCCACGTCATAGGTTCCTGCATGGTGGCGGTAGGATCTCTGTAAAAGCCTCAAATATCTCCACATGAGGGACGGCGCCTGTGGCTCAAGGAGTAGAGTGCCGGCCCCATATATGGGAGGTGGAGGGTTCAAACCCAGCCCTGGCCAAAAACTGCAACAACAACAACAACAACAACAACAACAACAACAACAAAATCTCCACATGAGATCATTCTGAGTTTTGGGTGGGCTCTAAATGGAATGAGAAATACACTTATATGAGAAAGGCAGAGGGAGATGTGAGACACAGAGCATGGGGGAGAAGCCCGTGTGAAGACAGAGGGAGAGGCTGGAGCCATTATCCTGGCACAAGTCAAAGAACAGCTGCAGCCATCAGAAGCTGGCAGGGGCAGGGCAGGCAAGCTCTTCCCTTGAGCTATTGGAGAGGCCTTGCTGACGCCCTGATTTCAGAATTCAGCTTCCAGATTTGTAAAGGATCAAAATTCTGCTGTTTTCAGCTAACTAGTTGTGGGAACTTGTTATAGCAGCCTTAGGAAACTAACACAGCCCAGGTCCAGCCCATCAGTAAATTATGACAGGGTCAATCTCAAAACACATCCAGTCTCTACACCACTTCCACTTCCCTTAGCAACAGGAAGCTGCCATCAGCTCATTACTGGCCATCCCTTCTCAGCGCTTGCACGCCCTGCAGCACACAGCAATCAGAGCATGGCTTAAAACTGAAGTCAAATCTTGTCCCTTCTTTGCTCAATACCCTCTATGAGCTTCCCATTTCTCTCAGAATGTAACCCAAAGGCTTTATAGGCTGGATAGGTCTGGCCCCTGCTCTCTCTCTGTCCTCACTTCTTACCATGCTCACAGTCTGGGCTTCCTTGCTTTTCTGCACACGTGTGCCAAGCTTACTCCCTCCTGGAGTCTTAGCATGTTCTTTCTTCTGTTCAGGTAACCACAGGCCTGCTCCCTTAAAGATCTTGTTCATGTCCCACCTTTTCAGAGAAGACTTGGCCTGTTCATTCTACTTGAAGTGACCTGTTCCAATTACTATCTATAAATCACATCACTCTTTTACTTTTCCTGACAGTACTTACTTTTTATTTTCCTGTTCATAGCCTCTCTCTCCTATTAGAAAGAAAGCTGTCTACAGTGTCAAGACCTTATCTGGCTTGTTTGTGTCTGCGTTCCAGTGCCCATGCTTAATACTGCAGTCACTAATAAATGTCTGCTGAATGAATAAACCAATATAACTTGTAGCTATTAAGGGTGTTGCTCAGAAAGGATGAAGATGGTATCTATTTTCAGCACCACCCCAAACACAACTTTCTGGAGAATAACCTGGTTGGCCACCTACACACATTCCCAGTAAATAGGATCAGAGTCACCACCAAAGAAAACAACCCATTGTAGTTGCCAAGTGAGATCTGAAATCAAGATATTGTTAAAGAGTTACTAACTTTCAGCTTAGCGTCCCCAGCTCAGTGGTTAGAGCACTGGCCATGTGCACCAGGGCTGGTGGGTTCAAACCCCAGTGTTGTGGTGGGCACCTGTAGTCCCAGCTACTTGGGAGGCTGAGGCAAGAGAATTGCTTGAGTCCAAGACTTTGAGGTTGCTGTGAGTTGTGATGCCACAGCACTCTACTGAGGGTGACAGAGTTAAGACCCTGTCTCAAAAAAAAAAAAGTTATTAACTTTTAGTGACATATCTTATAATGTTTACAACTGTCAAGTTCAAGAAATTTTTAATGTTCAAGAACTATTAATAGCTTTCTGAAGGAAGTTTGAGAACAAAAACAATTTTTATGCATTTAATACTAAGCAGTTTAAAAGGTTTTACCTACCCTATTTAATTTAACTCTGTTACTTGCCTGAGTCCTTCCTTAGTGGTGATGAGTCCTGCTATTACAGATGGAAATAGGGAGACTTTTGGAGACTAAGGAACCTGCACAGGGTATGCTGCACAGTTGGCATTAGGGTAGTCGCAGACCCAAACCAGGACCTCTAATTCCAAATTCCTTATTTTCCTCCATTGCACTCCATTTGTTTACTTATTTAATTCACTGACTTATTCGTTGTACATTATTAAACATCTAATGTTTCTAGTACTTCTTTAGATGCAGTAGATAAGGATTAAAAAGTTGATAACCTGTCTACAGTTTTTCAATAAAAAATGTGTAACACATGCTCTTGGGGGGAAAAATCAGTAGAGTAACCACTACCCTTCTCTCCCCATCCCGTGGTCCCCAATTCCTCTCTCCTGATGCAAACCAGTGTTACATGGAAATCTCTGAAAATATACCGGATAAGTCTCCTGCATCTGGGGCGAGGAGGTCCTTGCTGGAGTTGGGAACTGGAACTTGGCCGACTCATCTCCATCCCGTGGGCGGCTGAGGCACAGGAGTAAGTGCACTATACCTACTAACAAGGGCCACTCTCACGTGTAACCACTGCGGAGTGAAAAGGAGGCCAGCCCTAAAGGAGAATGCTTCCGGAGGAGAGGGACAGAGCCAAGTCCAGGCAGACAGGAGGATCCTTGGACCAAAGTACTCCGGGCTGAGTTGCCACGAGTGGGCGGGGCGATGCGCGGGGCGGGGCGGGGCGGAGCCAAGTACGGGGCGGGGCGGCGCGCGGCGACGTGGCAGCCGCTGGGGCATGCGCCGCTGGTGGCCATCTTGGAGGCGGGGAATCGCGGAGGTGAGCTCTTTACTGCATCTTCCTTGTCTCTTCCGAGCCAACTGTAGTTCTAAGCCCTGACCTCCTTGTCCCCTACTTTTCACCTACTGCGCAGGCACTCTCCGGGTACTCCAGGTGAGCGTCCGCCTGGCAGCGACGCGGGTGCATGAGGGTGGTGGCATGGCATGCTGGTGCCGAAGCCGGACCCCACGGGGCGCAGTCTGGGAGGTGGGCGGGCCAGCTGGGGCGGCGGGGTGCAGGGCTGGTTCCCGAGTCCGCTAGTCGCACAGTCCGGGCGAGGCCCTGTGGGTGCACGGGAGGTCCAGCAGACAGGGTGTGCATCGCAAGACGAACAGTCCCCACGGTGTATTGCAAGGTGGGTGCGGTCCGGTGGTCTCACCCCGGCACTTTGCTCTGGTCCAGCGACCGAGGCTAGGAGCCCCCGACCATCTAGTCCCACGCTTCCAGTTCGCTGGCCCAGGGAGAGAGGCTGGTGGCAAAGGCCTGCGGACCTTAGCCCGGCCCAGTCTGGCCTGAAGACGTGGCAGAGCTGGGGGGAAGGCTTTGGAGGCCCTGGAGACTCGAGAGTCACCAAAACCGGTCGGCCCGTGGAGAGCTAATTTTCCCTGAGGTCCTCTCAAGGGGTACTTAGCGTCGCTCCAGAGGGCTTTTGCACTCTCTGGTCTCTTTGTTCCGTCTCTGGGACCTGCTTCAGGCAGATTTGCCGGATAGCTCCTTTCCTGGGTTGGCAGAATTTATATCCAATGGAGTTTTTGTCATTCACAGTAGTTATTTTGAGGGACAACATGTATATTTATGCGATCATGACACATTTTGGCATTCCAGTCTTTCGCCTGTGCAGCCACTCTTTAACTTCGCGAACATTTATGGAATTTTATTTTGGGATTGGAGCTGAGAATGCAGAAAGAAAACTCAGACTGGGCTCTAGCGAGTGCTCACCTCTAATAGTAGAGGCAGTCGCGTGGCACCGGTACATGACTTACAGTAATGACTTTTAATGCTTTAAAGCTTAGCACAACTGCACTATTCCATTTCTTTTCATACGTCCTTATAAGTAGCCATCCACTTAAAAAAAAAGAAAAGAAAACAAAACAAAAAAACAAAACAGAGAAAAACCAAAGCACAAGCAAATTAGATTAGAAGAGCAGGGCTTGGCCAGAGGCTAAATTCTTAATTTTCCCAGTCATTTCCATCACTTTTTAAAAAATGTTGATACATTAATATTACTTTTTGTGCTGCAGTTTTAAGTCCTAAAACCATTACAAATTGATGCAACAGTAATGTTTTATAATTGGTTTTTTTAGTAAAAGGTTTTATGTTTATGCATACAAAATTTACCCCAATATTGTCATTACCCCGATTCTCAAATAATAAAGCTTTTAAAAATGGAGAGAAATTGATACGATCATTTATTTCATGTTACGGCTTTGTATTCACTGTACAAAGTTATGGCAAAGTCGTATGTCATTATTATGGCAAAGTTCCTTTGCCAACACATTTGTTAATGTTAGGGATTCTCTTCATGATTTTTATTAGCCATTTTAAGGATAAGAGAGTGGTCAGAAGAAGAATAACTCACCAAAAAATAAGGTGATGAAAGAGGTGGCTTTGGTGGGGGTGACGGGATCCTCGCAGGGGCATTTCTGTTGTCTACCTTTGATGTATAGGTACTGAATCAAAGGATTTAGCCTCCTGGGAGCCCTGTCCTCTACTTAGTGTTGTAGATCTTCCTCTACATCCACAGCCAAACCTACTGGAAGTTTTACGCATATTAATTTCACCTAGTTTTCAGTCCAATTCAGACTTCTGTCCCCACTCCTGTAGAACCTGCTCTCACTGAGTTCATCTCTGGTTTGGCAAATCCATTGAACTTTTCAAATTGTACCTTATGTGGCTTCTCTGCAGCATTTAATACAGTTGCCTATTCTTACCTGAAGCTCTCTTTGGCTTTTGGACACCACAGTGTCCCAGTTTTCTTAATATCTTTCTCCTCACCGCTCGTCCTGTGTAAGCTTGTCTTCTACTTGATTAAAGCAAGGGTTAAGACATGCTCTCTTTTCTCTTGGCATTCTCTTGTTAGAGGCTCTCATCTCAAAACATGACTTTAGAGCAGCGGTTCTCAACCTGTGGGTTGCCACCCCTTTTTAACAATGAAAATACGTTGCGGCATTAGGAAGGTTGAGAACCACTGCGGACTACCAGTACACTGATGACATGCACGTTTGTGGTTTCTAAGCTCCAGAGTAAGTCAACGTCTCTACTTAGGCGTTTCAAAGAACTTAAAGTTAGTATGTGAAAGACTGAACACTTTATGATCTGCTCCATATACCCCCCAGAAGACAACATCAAACAAACACCCTGACTTCTAGCAGTGCTCTCTCTCAGTGCATGGCACTGCCATCCTTCTAACTGTACAAGTCATGCCTCTCCCTTTCCCCACCTCCATGTCCAGTTTTACTACCTAAACATTTCTTGAATTGGTCTACTCTTCTCTCTCTCTCCTCCCATCATCTTAATCTGGGTCAGAGTTTGTCAGCTTTGGCACCATTAACTAACATTTGGGATCAGTTAATTCTTGGGTGTAGAGTTGTGTTGAAGGACTCTTAGTGGTGGCCCAAGCCTCTGCCTACTAGATGCCAGTAGTACCCTGTTGGTGTGCCATCCAAAAATATCTTTATAGACATTGCCAGGTGACCCCTGGGGGGGGGGGCATAAGCATGAATCACTCGGTTAGGTTGTTACTACCTCTGATTTGAACTGCTGTATCTTCCTTGGTTTTCTCTGTGCTTCTGCTCTGTCTGATGGTCCAGTCTGCATACTTTGGTCAAAGAATCTTTTCAAAATAAAAATTGCTAAGAAACTAGAATCAGGCTAAATGTAGGGGTAAATGGGTAAACTGTGCTACTTATATATAATGGAATAGTATTCAGCAATAAATCCAGCTATTGCTACATGAAACAACTTGGGTAGATCTCATAAAGAGATCTCATAAAGAGCTTTATGCTACATTTGAAAAAAGCCAATTTGAAAGGTTACTGGTATATGAATCGGTTTATGTATCATTCATGGAATAAATGGCCAGTGACAGGGTGACAAAGGAGTAGCCTGAGAGAGTTTCTTTGGAGGGGGTATTAGTTCTGTACCTTCTTAGTCATGGTTATCCAAGTTTGTGCATATGATTGTCAATTGCATGGCTTTGATCATCTTACTGTGGTTATGTAGATGCTGTGACTGAGAAAAACTGGATTTGAGATACTTAAGAACTCTACTATTTTTGCGTCCTCTCGTGAAGCTAAAATTTCTTCAGAAAAGTTAAATAAAATACAAATATGGTTCTTTCTGATGAATACCCTACAGTGATATTTCGTTCTTAAAAAACTCATCAATTTCATGGGTTTGACCATCTTACTGTGGTTACGTAGATGCTGTGACTGGGAAAAACTGGATTTGAGGTAGTCAAGAACTCTACTATTTTTGCATCTTCTTTTGAAGCTAAAATTTCTTCAGGAAAGTTAAGTAAAATACAAATTTTTTACTTTCTGATGAATACCGTACAATGATATTCTGTTCTTAAAACACTCAGTTCCTTAGGGTGGCTTGAAAGACCTCACACCGTCTAGGCTTCTTCCTGTCCCTCTAGTTCTCAGTCTCCTTTTCTGTTCCTTGTCCCAGGTATGTTCTTGAATGTGTCTTATTTCCTCTGCCTTACGGGACCTTTATAACTGCTGCATATTCATTTTTCTCTGTTATCTGCCTTCTTTTCCCCTTTTCCTTGCCTACTTAAGTTCTTACTCAGCAAATCTCAGCATCTCTTTCTGTTCTTTGGAACTGTGTCCCACCTGGCCTCCATCCAACTCAAAATCATATTCCTGTCAAACAGAGGTATGATCTTACCCTCAGAGCACATAATTCAGGCTATAATTTTCTGTATATTGGCTATTTTCTGTATATTCTGTACTAGAGTATGAATATCCTGTTTGTTTTTGCTAACTGTTGTATTTTCAGAGGTACCAGTATGGTGCTTGGCAGGCAGTTGACCTGCACCGAGTGATTATTAAATGAGTAAAATCACTGGAAACAAATTTGGCATAGTTAGAAGTTGGTTTTATGCTTAAGGTGGAAAGCACCTTGGAAATTTGTAACTTTTGAGAAAGTTTTCTTTATTTATATAATTCATTGTCATCTGTTAGGACTCTGATGTCTAGTGACATTTTTACTATTAGTTAACATTTTTAAAGCCTAAGAGGTAATTCACCTGTTACTGGACATGCTTCAGAATATGAACTAGGGAAATTGAGAGTTAATGCATTTATCAAGTTAAACACATATTAATTTCTTTAAATTTTAATAATAATTCACAAAATTGCTTTATAAGAGAAGAGATAGAGTTTCAAAAAATACATTAAATACAGTAAAACATCTGTAAGCTGATTGCTCAAGGATTATAACAAGTTGGTCAACATACAGATGGTCAACAGAAGGAACTAGGCCTGCTGTATTGATATGTACATGTGGTGCACGTCCAGTCTATGAAAATTAGGGCAACTTAAGGAGGTGGTCAATATAGGGACCCCATCAGCTATGGAGATTTTACTCTTGTTTTAATTTTAAATGTAGTAGTGACTGAAATCTGGATGTAAATATTGCATTTATTAAATTACTAGTTGACTATTTGAAATTTGTATAAAACATAGATCATTAGTTATGTGGTTAACACAAAATTCCTGATTATAACGTATTACAGGGAAATGTCAGATTGTTTGGTATTGAATATTCTCAGACTGTTGTCTTAGGAATTTTGACAGGTCCTTCGTCTGAAGAAAATAAGTTGCATTATAAATAGTAAAGGCAAACATCTGCCTTTTGATTTTTCTTTTAATTTTTCTCTAACTATACAAGCTTTAAAAATGCACTTTTGATTACTGTGTAATAATAGTACGTTTTTATATCTTTACAGTATACCATAATTGAAGAAAAATGATGGAAGAGAGTGGAATAGAGACAACACCCCCTGGGACTCCTCCACCAAACCTCGCAGGCCTGGCCGCTGCCGCCATGTCCTCCACGCCCCTGCCGCTAGGTGCGTGCAGTCTCACAGCTCACACTTCTGAGAATAGTGAAGACGCTTTTCTCTCTTCTCAGTCAGTCGAGAAAAGAAGGCATATATTTAAACTTCTCTAATCTTTTTCAGGATAAAGGGAAATAACCTTTTAATTTAAATAATAGAAATGGTATTTTTTGTATATATTTAAAGTGGGAAAAAATATCCCTGTTTTGCTTTAGGTAGACTTTCACACTTTATATTTAAAATAACGATAAGCCAAATTTCTCTACAATGGTAAAAATATCCTAAAAAGTGTGCGTTAGCTGTGTCTGATGTTCTGTCTTTCTGGTGATTCACGTTTTTGAGTCTTCAGTGTATAGGATTTTATGACCAAACTGGGGTGTAAAAAATGACTTTCTGTTTTTTGAAGAAAACCTACCAGACCAAAGCAGAGAGCAAAGATGAATAATGCCGCAGTTAATTTCACGTATCTGCTGCTTTTACTCATGGGATTTGAAACTCATTGGCCCTCATTTATATTTGCTGTGTTTTTAAAATCAGACATTTTAAAGTAATTCTTGGGATATGCTCTGTGAAGTTACAAATTTCATAAGAAGAAAGTACTGAGAAATTGTGAAGACTAAATAAACGTGTAATTTTGTGTATTTGTTCCCTTCACTTTTTTCTAGCTGCAACCACTTCTGTTTCTTCTCCCAACGTGTCCTCCGTGGAGTCCTTGCCGCCACAGGCGTATTCCACTCCTCAGCCGTCCCTCCCTCCTGGGGGACCCTTACCTTTTGCACCTCCCGCACCAGTTCCTTCTGTCGCACCCCTCGTGACGTCCGGAGCGCCTCCTGTTTCTCCACCGACCGCAGCTGCGCTCAGCAATCCTCCATTGTTACACTTCCCACCTTCGACTTCTGCCCCAAGTGTCCTTTTATCTGCGCCACCTTCCGGTCCTCCTATATCAGGATTTTCTGTCGGTTCAAATTATGACATTACAAGGGGACACGCAGGAAGAGCTCCCCAGACACCTCTGATGCCGTCGTTTTCTGCACCTTCGGGAGCAGGTAATTCTCTCTTTTTTAAATACTTTGAAATACACAGGTATAAGTAATGTTTTATTTTTTTTAAAAAATAATAGTTTTATTGAGATGTAAAATACGTAGTCTTTTATGACTAGCATCTTTCATTTAGAATAATACTTCAAGATTCACCCATGTTATAATGGGTTTTGGTTCTCCATTCCTTTTCATGGCTGCATAATATTTGAATGATGGATATATCACAGTTTGTTTATTCATCAGTTGAAGTTGGGTTGTTTCCTTTTTTTGTCTATTGAGATAATGTTGTTATGATATGAATGTTTGTATTCAAGTTTTTATATGGACATATTTTTATTTCTCTTGGGTATATACCTATGCATGGAATTACCAACTGACAGGGTAATTCCTTGCCGAACTATTTTCCAAAGCAGGTGTACCCTTGTATCTTCTTACCAGCAATATGTGGGGGTTCCAGTTTCTCTGCATTAGTGTTCTATTTTTAACTGGTTTCTTTGATTTCTGGAGTTACCTAGTGTCATGTTTTTGACATTTTAATTATTAAAATAAAGCTAGTATAACAGTGTATGGTTTTTATACGACCCAGGACTTAGTGTATGATTAGTATGTGGGATATCAGAAAAAATTCCAACATTTTATCCTAATGTCCATTTATAGAGAAAGGACAAGGTAAAGTCTAGAAGTCTTTTAAAACATTACATAAAAAGTTATCAAGCCTGACTGGTCCAGGGAATCGTCTTCTGGGAATTTAGAACCAGATAAAATTCAGAACCAAATAAAAGCTCATGTGTGCCAAAATTGGTGATTTGGGTCATTTCCTTCTCTAAGTCAGTTGCATCTTCATTTTTGCTTCTCTGGAATGGTTGTTGCAAACCATTTATCAGAATTTCATCTTTGTTATTTACTACCCGTTTCCTACTCTCTCTACCATTTTAGGGAAAGAAGCAACTTTCTTGTGATTTTTTGTTATCTAACTTTGCTTATCTACAAAGCAAAGTAAAATACCTTTACAAGTAAAATATATTTCACGGGATAAGTATTAATACCCACGTCTACATATATGTGAATTTTTTTGAATTAAATGAAGTGTGTGGATATGTGTAGTAATCATTTTATACTTCTGTGTGAGGGGCTTAGGTGTTCATTTATTTTTGTGGACTGAAGAGACTGGAATTGGGACTGTCTACATTGAAGTAGGACAGACCTGAAACTTCTTGATAAATCTTTTTGGTCCGTTTTCAGTCTGTTTGGTGTAATCCTATGCCAAGGGAAATAAATTTCTCTTTTGGAATTGTTTTGTTTGCCTTTTATAAGGGTTTGGGTTATTCTTTGCATTTGTAACTCAATCTCAAAATACCCGAGCATATAGTTCAAGCTACTCACTTCATATGTTGTGTTTTCTTTTTATGGGAAAATATATAGATTAAATTACACATATTAAAATTTTTGCCATTGACTAGGTATTTTACCACCTCCCATTACTCAGCAAGCTGGTTTGACATCTCTGGCACAAGGGACTGGGACCACATCTGCCATTACGTTCCCCGAGGAGCAGGAAGATCCTCGGATTAGTAGAGGTCCAGATGAAGCCTCCGCTGGTGGAATCTGGGGCTTTATTAGGGTAAGAAGTAATTTACTTTAGGAATTACGTTTAGTTTTCTTATTATAAAACTCACAGGTGCTTCCTAGAGAAAATTCTGAAAATACAAAATGGCATAAGAGGCAAATAAAAACCCTCTTATGTTTTGTGAGCAGTTTTCTGTAGTTGCTCTCAGTCTTTCGTCTGTGCGTATCTGTGCATAGACCGTCTATAGATGTGTCTATATTCCTTTAATAAAAATCCAATTGGGGTTGTGACGTGTAGATAACTATTTTGTGTTTTCTGTTTGTCTCTACTTAGCATATATCGTTAACCTCTTCCAGTCATAAAATCCTCTTCACAAGTGTGTTTTGGCGCTGTGTATGGCTGATTCCCATACATGCTACTGCTTTTGTTTCCGTGTTTTATTCCACTAATCTGCTGTTGACATCTTCTAATTGTAATTTTTTTAAATTAATTCATTTGTTTTAATTGACCAAAAAGTGGGTATATTTATTCTGTGCAACATGATAGTTTGAAATATGTATGCGTTCTGGAATGGCTAAAATGAGCAAATTAGCAGAGGTGCATTCCTCACATACGTAACTGTTTTTTGCCGTGAGAAAACTTCAAATCCTTAGCAATTTTCTAGAGTAGAACACATCATTATTAGCTGTCGTCACTGTGTTACACAGCAGCTGTCTCCTAATTGTATTCTTATCAGTAAATCTCAGATGAGCACTTGTGTAAACCTTTATGGGCGTCCCTCATCACGATGACTCCTGAGGAACACTGGAGTGAACCTTTTAAAAATGATTGACAGTATTGTTCTCCAGGGAGGTTATATCAAAATACACCATTAAAGCATTTTTTCCCTTGTCAGTATGGTTAATTATTTGAAATATAATATTGTCTGATTTAATAGGAAAGTATCTGTCATTTTAATATTTTTTTTCCCTTGACAATTGGAACGTTTTTCATGCTATTTTCAGTTCCTTGTATTTTCCTTTTGTGAATCTCTCTTTATGTTCTTTGCCCGGTTTTAAAGTGGGATGATTTTCTTCTTTTAATGTATTCATAACAGCTTTTAATAAGGTAAGTATGTACAATCATATGTTGTAGTTTTTCTTCATTTTTAGTTTACATTTTAATTTTATTATATGCCTTTTGACACAGAAGTTCTTAAATTTTCAGAAATCATGGCTTTCTTTTCTTTCTTTCTTTTTTTTTTCTTCTGAGACAATGAGACAAGAGTCTTACTTTGTCATCCCAGCTAGAATGCAGTGGGATCATCACAGCTCACTGCAACCTCAAACTCATGCACAGCTCACTGTAACCTCAGACTCCGGCAAAAATGCAGTGGGATCATCACAGCTCACTGCAACCTCAAACTCATGCACAGCTCACTGTAACCTCAAACTCTGGCAAAAATGCAGTGGGATCATCACAGCTCACTATAACTTCAAACTCATGCACAGCTCACTGTAACCTCAAACTCCGGCAAAAATGTAGTGGGATCATCACAGCTCACTGCAACCTCAAACTCCAGCAAAAATGTAGTGGGATCATCACAGCTCACTGCAACCTCAAACTCCAGCCAAAATGCAGTGGGATCATCACAGCTCACTGCAACCTCAAACTCTAGCAAAAATGCAGTGGGATCATCAGAGCTCATTGCAACCTCAAACTCCTGTTCAGGTGATTCTCCTGCTTCAGCCTGCTGAGTAGCTGGGACTATAGGCATGTGCCACTATGCCCAGCTAAATTTTTCTAATTTTTGTAGAGACAAGGTATCACTCTGGCTCAGGCTAGTCTCAAACTCCTGGCCTCAAGCAGTCTTCTCAGGTCAGCCTCCCAGAGTGCTAGGATTCAGTAGTGAGTGATGTCACCTGGCTCAAGAGTTATTTCTATTAGCAGATATGAGGTGTGCTCTTTTTATATTTTTTTTAATTAGGGAACAAAGCATAGGCTTATTGAGACATCTGATTGTTGTCTTTGAGAACCCGAGGGACAAGCTTGTGTAATGTTTTATATAAGTAAATAAATAGAAATGAAGCATTGTATATTCATAACTGAAATAACTGCATATTAACACATACAAGCTCATTTTTAATACACATATACACACACATAATGTACATATACACGAGGTATCATACTTTCCAGGTGGGTGCTCCTCCAGATCTGGTCTATAGACTGCTGCTGGTTTGCACACTGCTCTGGGTCTGTGATGCCCTAGGAAGAGAAACTGAGGGTATCATTTAGAAACTTAGTAGTGATTAGACATTGTCGGGACCTTGTTTTTCTTATATTTTACAAAAGTTGTGGTCTGCGATCTCAATCCTGAACATCATGGTATTCTATGCCTAGGGTAAGTATTTATACATCAATTTGTTTTCTGCAGGGTGTAGCTGGGAATCCTATGGTGAAATCTGTGCTTGACAAGACAAAACATTCAGTAGAAAGCATGATCACAACGCTGGACCCTGGCATGGCTCCCTATATCAGTATGTACATAAGTTAGACCAGTATCTGCCGTAGTGTCTAAAAGTGCGTGTTAATGACAGCCACTAAGTATAATTCTCAGTTCATTTCCACTGACAATGTTATCGGTGGAAATTCCTGTTATATGCTTCCATTAAGTTCATTGTCAAACTTAGTTTTTAATGTTATTAATTGATCTTTTTCTTAGTTATCATTAAATAAATTTTTAAAACTCTTCAGAATGAACTTCAGAGGAGTAAAAACTATGAATTCTTTTTCAACTGACTTTAGTTTTACATATAGGTTAGCATTGCTTTATATAAGTTTTCTTTATTCACTGCTGACATTTGAAGTGATTCTTTGTACTTGGTTTTGACATTTCTCTAGTTTTCTGTTTTCACTAAATATGTTTATGCTTAACTCACAAACATTATTTTTGGAGAAAGTTAACCTAGTTGTTAATAATATCTGATTACTAGTTTTGTTGGAAAAGCTCTTTTAACTACCTTTGACCCTTTATAATCAAGAATCTTTCAGACAGTTAATGTAGAGATGCTGTCTGCTGTTTACATGTAATATCCAATATGTAAAAAATACCGCCAGGCTCAGTGGTCAGTTATTAATAATCTTACAGATAAAAATTTATGAGGCAGAATTGTATAGCAGATACCTGAACAGAAATTTTTTGTGGCAGTAAAAAGCCAGTTAGCTTTCATAAGTTCTGACTATGTTGGTCATTTACTGTCTAGTGATTGTCAAAGGCTAAGACATAGCAGTGACTAAGTGCCATTGATTGAATACTTTTGCCACACACTGATTCTCATAAGAGCTCAGCAGGGGAGGTGGTTTCCTCAAGTTTTGGGTTAGGAAGGTTGGGTTCAGAGAGATGTAAGTTATTATCTTAAATCACACAGTTTGACAGAGCTAGACTGAAGACATGTTTAATTTTTTATACTTAGCCACTTTCCCTTTCTTGAATTATTCTTTGTATTATAATTGAGGGATCTGGACTACCATACATATCGATTTCATGTATTTATAATCAGCATAATATTCTTTTCTTCATATGTACATATTTTGGATGCAGGACAGAAAGGAATTAATGTTTCTGGAGCTCTTGCTGTTGTAATGGGTGTGCTGTGTCACACTGTGAAAGCTGCTCTTTTATCTTTATAGCAAGCTCCATGAGGCAGCAGATATTTTCTACAGAGAAACAATCTCAGTGACTTCCCCAAGGTAGTGCAGCTAGTAAATGGTAAAGGCAGGACTCAGGGTGGTTAGTTTCTCAAACCAGTGGTCTCTGTGACGTCAGCAAAAAGGTGTAAGACCAAAGGGGAAGAAAGATACAGAAATGAAAGTTTTATTACTAGCAAATATCCTAACTAGTAATAACATAATCAGTCACTGTTAAAAAGTAATAAAACTGAGTGTGAAAAAGCAGGCATCTTACTGACAGCAAAAGCAACACCATTCTGATTTAACAAACTCAAAGTAAAACTACCAGGATTTTTATGCATGTATTCTAGAACTCACTTGATGAGCAATTTATATCAAGAAGGCACAAGAACTATTAGTTACGGATTTTAACACAGTTTGACTTTCGGATTCCTCATTGGTTCTTCCTTACTGTTAAGGGCAGGACTACCCTTCACGAACTGAAAAGCCTGTTTGGGCTGAAGCTTAATGGAATATTACTTAGCTGGGGTCAAGATATGTCTCACGTGGAGGAGAAAAATACGAGAAGTATATTCTTCTCTCGGGTGTGACCCATTTTGCTTTTGGGTTCTAGTAACTTCTGAAATTCTCATTAACATCTTTAAATTCTCAGTGAAGATGTTAATGAGGAGACTGGAATCCATGATAGGAAAGAAGATACCTGGAAAGTAACTTCACTTGTTCCATGAGATATTTCGCAGGGAAAACAGCCTTGTTCCCGTGGTGAAATCTGTTACAAACAGCGTTCGTGGGAAATCTCTCTTATCAGTGACAGCCATGAAAGCCGCGTAGCAAGACAGGCTGTGCTTAGAACGGGGTTTTGAATTACCTATATCACAAAACGTTAGGGTAAGAAAAGTAATGGAATGTTTATGGTCAAATTGTTCTGTCTAGAAATAATAGTGCCTAGGTTTATAAAATTGATAACTTTTAGATGTTTGAAAATATTTTTATTTCATATCAGTCTTAACCTTTTAAAATTTCAGTTTTACGTATGTTAGATTCGTTTTCATATTTGCTTGCATATTAGATTAGGGTGGGAGTCCATATATAATTTATAAATAAGTATCTTTTTGTGATCTACAGTGAAAAAAACTCAATGATCCCAACATTTAAACTGTTTTCTAAACAAACAGCATATTTACGGTAGTACTTGTTTATTTGGTAACTTCCATTGGCCTCTGTGAGAAGTTATTATCACCGAGAGTCTTCATTTGCATTTTCTGTGTATAGTGTCCCAAATGTGTAACTTCACAAACTACATATTTACTTTTTATGATTGCTCCATAGCTGAGGGACTGGAAACTGGTGTCACATGTGTTCGAAGCTTGTGTATAATGAATGTTCTTCCTAACCAACCAACAGCAGAAAAACCGTTTTGATTTATAACTTTAAAAATACAATAAATGAGTTTATTCAGCGTTTAAACTAATGAGAAAATGATACTTGGCTATAAATGAATAGAATGATTTAGTAGACAGGCTGTTTTTGTATCTGGTATATCATTATTTCCCAAATTGATATCTAGGGAATGCTTTGTAGGAGCCGTTATTAGATGCCAAGAAAGTACTTCATGAACGGGTTAAGTATGGAAAGTACTAGATTAGTCATGATTTTTAACCTTTGGGTTTCTCATAGTCCTTGAAATGTTAATGTGCATAATGGATTTCCAAGAAAGAAGTATGATGTGCAGTGTCTCCCAGAGTCATTTGTCTGCAGACTAATTTTCAGGGAGAGCTACTAATATATTCCGCAGTAGCATTTCATAGAAGAGAGAAAATCACGCTGTCAGTGTGGCAGGTGGGATCCTCAGAACCATTAGAGAGTGGTGTGTCCATATTCTGCTTGCATGTAAGACTCACTCAGATAATGCATTAAATTCCCATTTTTAAAATTCAGGAAAAATTAGTAGTTTGGGGCTGAGCATTTGTTGGAATAGCATGCTGTTAGAGGAGAAGGTGAAAATGTGTCTGGCTGTATGAAATGGTGGTGAGAAAGAGGATTTCAGTGTGGCAGAACGAGCTTTGAGTCCCGAGGTTAGTGCTTAGTAGCTGTGACCTGGGGCGAGATGGTCAGCCTCAGTTGCAAACATATAAAAATGGTGGTGATCTGTATGGGTAGTTTTATGAGGTAGGTAATACTGACATTAATAAAATGTTGGCACTTGATAGGATAGTAATTAGGAGAATTTCATTATTTTAATTTGGAATTGAAATTTTCTTTTGCCCTTTGTAGAATCTGGAGGTGAATTGGATATTGTAGTGACCTCAAATAAAGAAGTAAAAGTCGCTGCCATCCGAGATGCCTTCCAGGAGGTCTTTGGTTTAGCTGTGGTTGTAGGCGAAGCTGGACAGTCCAATATAGCCCCACAGCCAGTGGGCTATGCGGCTGGATTAAAAGTGAGTAGCAGAACCCTTTCTTCAGAGTATGGAAACTGGCAGTTAATTTTTTCATAATTTTGATAATATTCCTGTAGTCTCTGTGGAGCTATTAGGTTTTTTATATACCAATGTAATGGTCAGCTTTGCTTTGAGTTCGACAACTCTGTAGTCTTATGAAGATACAGTGGACTTGTAGTCTGAGGAAATCTAAGATGGATTGATTTCAGTTATTATGGGAGGGAAGAAAGCAGACAAGAGAAGAGAGGAAGAGAGCACAAGTGTAGTCTTACAAAGATCCTCTTACTACAATCCAGCATTAACCTTCAGATTGCTGAAATTATAATGTCTCTTGAATCCTTTGAGCTTTTTACTATCACCATTAATAGTATTAGAATGTTGAAGTTCTAGGAATTCTGCCCTCTTCCCACACTTTTTTTTGCTCTCTGTGGTAGTGTTACCAACACATCATGCGGGAACAAAAGAACAGTTCACTGGCATGCAGACATCTCTCCCACCCTAAAAACATAAATTGCAGGAAACCCCAACACGTTTTTGACTTCCCTCCCCCAGGACCCACCTCTTCATTTTGCTTCCTTTTGCAGCAGAATTCCAAAGAGTTGCCATGATTCTTCTCCAGTTCTTCTCTCTGGGTTCTCTTAACCCCGCACAGGCAGGCTCCCCCTCTGCTCCATCGAGAGTGCTCCAGAATCACTCTGCTCTTTATCTTATCGGACTTACCAGTGGCTTCCCCCCCCCTCAAAATAATATGAGTGTACCCATTTTTAGATTACCTTGTTTTCAGTTCTAAGGTTAAGTTCAAGTTGCAGTTGAGCCCTTTACCCGGGGGGTCTGCCGAACAGTTGATCATTCCCTTCCTTAAAGCCTTTTCCACTTCACGCCTGGGTTTCCTCACTTTTGGCTTTTCTTCCGTCCCTGACTGCATATTCCTTCTGTGCTTTCCTTGCTGGTTTCTCCTCTCCTCCCCTCCTCCTAATGGTCACCTTCTCCGTCCATCCACTCCCTTGGTACTCTCACACCACCCATGGCTTTAAGTGCCATCTCTGCTACAGTTCCAGAGTTGTATCTCACCTGAGACTCTTGTCAACTCCTGATTTATATAAAGGTTGCCTTGTTGATAACTTTACTTGAGTATTACTAGACTTAATATGTCTAGAACTAAACTGCTTTTCTTTTCTCTAAACCTGCCCTCCTCCCAGTCTTCTCCATCTTAACTGATAGTTCTATCCTTCTGTCTTCTCAGGCAAGGAATCTTGGAATCTTCCCTAACTTCTCTTGTTATCTCCTCCGAATCCATCAGCAAATCTTGTTGGCAAGACAGACAGTTACCATTTTTCACTGTAGCTGTGTTCTGTAAGGCTGCTGCAGACACTGGATTAATGAATACTGAACCATTGCTCCCAGGGGAGATACAAGGTTAGGTCCCTGTGCGCCTCTGGTCACAACATTTTCAGAGTCTATAAATACATAACTTTGTTTTGTGTCTGTTTCTGTGTAATTACATCTTTATAAACCCACACAGGCACATGTGTGCACTCTTTAGATTCATTAGCGTTGGACTGTCACAACCTTATAGCACAATATAACTCGTGTTTGAATGACGCTTATTTAACACACTCATATTTTCTCCGTAAGGGACATCACATTTGTCCTTAAGAACCATAGACAGCACCTCAGTGCTATACTTGGGGGTCATTTCAAACAAGCACAAAAATGCAAAAAAGTGGCACTAAGTTAACCTCAACAGAGATGCTTATTTACCTTATGCCCACAGAACAAGAGAGTGCTCCCCTGTTCACTCTCAACTGGGGAATGTGCATCAGGCAACTCAATTTCTCATAGGTCTGTGCATGTCTGATTTTGAAGTTACTAATAAAATTTTAGTAGTCAGATTCATAGTCAGGGAATCCACCGATAATAAGGATCAACTGTATTTACGTTTATTCTCATTTATGACATTCTGTTATTGTATCAAAGGAGCTTCTGATAGCTTACATTATTGAAGGCATCCTTTGAGCCGGGCACACGGACACCGTGCCTATATTCACTCAGGATGAGGTAACTGCATAGCATGTTGCATTGGTGGAAAAGTCTGTGGCATTGGCTATAATTAGTCACCAAACATAAACTCACGTTAACACGAGGTCTGTTTTTTATATAGAGATGGGATCTTGCTCTGTCTTTTTTGTTTATATAGAGATGGGATCTTGCTCTGTCTTTTTTGTTTATATAGAGATGGGATCTCGCACTGTTCCTGCACTAGAGTACAGTGGCACAATCAGAGCTTACAGTAGCCTTGAACTCCTGGGCTCGGGGGATCTTCTTGCCTCAATCTCCTGAGTAGCTGAGACGACAGGCACTTGCTGCCAAGTCAGGTGTTAGTTTTTCTTTCTTTCTTTCTTTTTTTCTTTTTTTAAAACAGATAGGGCCTTGCAGTGTTGTCCAGGCTATTCTCAAATTTCTGCTCTCATGTCCGTCCACTTCAGCCTTCCTTCCAAGTTGCTGGGATTATAGGTGTAAGCTACCATGCCCAGGAACACTAGATTATTTTTAATTCTATTAGATAATGTTGCATAAGTTGAGGTCCTTTTTAAAATTATATTTAGCACTTTAAAGTCATTTTTAAGACACATACCATCCCTAAAATCAGTTTTCTGACCTGGGGGCTGTCAGGCAACAGTTATGCTATATCTAAATGTAGGATATTATATATAATCTGAATGAAATGACACGCTTCCTGCCTTTTGACTTTTCCTAAGGGTCTGTTCTTAAGCAGAGCAACACTACCAAAAGCACATGCACTTTGGAGCATTTCTGCTTTCTGGTGGGTTTCCCTTAAACTTGAGTCGCAGTGCACTTGTTCAGTAAGGCTTTCCATGGTAGTTGGGGTTTGGTCTTTATAAAATAGAGAAAAACTGATGACTGTAGGGGTTGAGATCAGTCTAGTCTTGAAACAGAATCAAAAGAGTGTGCCCATGAGTGTGTGGGTTTGTGAAGATGTAATTAAACAGAAACAGGCACAACAATCTAGTTGTAAAACAAATACGTAAAAACAATAATCATGGGCAGCACCTGTGGCTCAAAAGGGTAGGGTGCGGGTCCCATATGCCAGAGGTGGCAGGTTCAAACCCAGCCCTGGCCAACAACAACAACAAAAAACAGAAAACAATAATCATGCAATAATCTAGTTATACATAAGGTAAACTATAAGCATCTATGTGAGTGATTTTTACTTGAAAGACTAGAAGAAGTGTGATGGAGGTTGGACTTTCAAGTTTTCATGAATGTGTTTGGAAGTTGGAAAAAGTTTATAGATCTGGGAAGGAATTACATTTCACAATTTCATTTCAGAGGGTAACCTGAAGAAAATCCTAACATAGAAATAGGTTATTGAACAAAGAAAATGGGTGAGTGCATGTCACTGAAACTAGACAGTAAAGCAAGGGCTTTCTATATATTATATGTATGTGATATGGAGGCTGATAACGGTATTACTTTTCTAAAAGGATAGCAAAAGAATTTAATTCTCTAATAAAGGATATTTAAATCTGAGCGGTTAAAAATTGAAATTTTCATATGTAGTATTAGATGATTAGAATTTAAGGATTTAGGTTTCAAGGTAAAAATTTGGGCAAAGATGGCGAAAACACTGGCAGCTAGAGTGACAGTTTATGGATAAGAGGTTTTAGTTATTCAGAAATGTCATGACCGAGTCCTGAAGTGTGAGTTTGTCATCGGGGACATGAGGAAAGGGGGAAGATATGTGAAGGATTTAAGAAGGTGTGTATGTTAATTAGGAAGAAAGGGAAAGAATTTACAAAATGTTAGCAGTACAAATGGAAATGAATTTATGTAACTGACTTCATGGCAAGCTTCTTTCTTCATTACAGCTTTTGAAACATGGGCCTTTTTTTGTTACATTGAGTATCATTACTAAGAAGATATTTAAAATCTATTGGTATTAGGCTTGAAAGGCTGGTGGGGATTTTTCCTTCAAGAAAAGCCTTTTTTTTTTTTATGTTATTGGTAGTTCAATTTATCTTGCTGTTTTAATTAGTATTTGACATTTTTTTTTTTGCTAATGGTTTTTGCCCTTCACAGTTCAATATATGAGCTCTTTTGCTACAATTTTTTCTACAAAGTCAAAACTAAAATCCGTTTTAGATTTAGATTTAGCAAAGTTACTTCTGTATTTGTCAGCTTTTCATTGTTTTTCCCAGAAACAGTAGAGGGAGCTAATGAGAAGGAAAATAAGGTGGAATCTTAGAATAAAACATTTCAGACCCTTTTTTTTCACTATTGGATTTTGCTTTATTTTATTTAATTTATTTATTTTTTGAGACAGAGTCTCACTATGTCTCCCGCGGTAGAGAGCTGTGGCATCACAGCTCCCAGCAACCTCAAACTCTTGGGCTTGAGCAAATCTCTTAACTCAGCCTCTCAGGTAGCTGGGCCTACAGGTACCTACCTCAACACCCGGCTATTTTGTTGTTGTTGTCATTGTTGTTTAGCAGACCTGGGCTGGGTTTGAACCCACTGGCCCCTGTGCATGTGGCTGGTGCCCCAACTACTGAGTTACGGGCGCTGAGCCTATTAGATTTTATTTGAAGTGAATGGATTTTCTGAACTATACTTGTCTTTTAAATATATGAAATTATTTAAGTAAATAAATCAGTCCAAGTTGCTTAGTATAAGCTGTTAGAGTGTAAGCTGTGAGAGCCTTCATGGATTGTACTTCAGTTCTGAAGCGATTATCGTATGGCCTCTCCTCTGCCTAATTCTTGATCTCCTGCATTGGTAAATACAGGTAATAAAATTTCATTCTCATTGGTAGGGACTAACGTTAATATGTCTGTATTTGTAAATGTAAAAGAGGTTATATTTAATCAGTGCAGTGGTCAGAGGAAAAGAGAGGCCAGATATAACCCCCTTTTAATTTTCTTCTAGATTTTGTTTATCAAAAAAGAATTAAACTTGTCTGTCTAGCTCATTATCCTTTCTCTCATGGGTACTGGTTAATTTTAACTAAATATTTCACGAATCCTGTAAGTTACAAAGCCCTGTATTATAGGATAGTAAAAAAGGAAAAAAATTTAGTCTCTGTTTTCTGGAAGCATAAAATCTAGGACTATTTTAAGGTAGTACATAGCTAAGATATCACCTTCAAAGACTAATCTCTAAACATCGCACTAATCTAATAGTTCTAGGGAATTAACATTTATTGACGTTTTTTCAAAATGAAAATTTAGACATAGCTACCTCCTGGAAGGAGGGAATTAGGCAAATTTACAATATCCAGTATAAAGAATTAAGTTCTTCCTTGTTATTTCCTTCAAAATCAACAGCTGCCTCTTTATTGTTAGATTTGTGATGCCCTATTTACACTATTTGTATTCTTCACATTCACTACGTAGGCCTTCAGAAGCTTTTTGTTTTTTTCTTTGTTCAGTTTTTTATGTAGTAAGGTCTTACTGAAAACCTGTTAGATTGAACACTGTACTAGGCACTAGAAATAGAAGAGTGAGCACAGATATACAGTGTCTTAATGTCGCAGTTTAAATCCTCATCCTCCATCCTTCCCCTTGACAGGCCGGTATCCTACATTGTCCTAAATATTCTTACTGTTCTGGTTACAGTCGTCACATTCTCTCCCTGTATTACCTGTCCCCTGAAACGAATTCAGTTTGCTCTAGAAGTGTCCTAGCCTTTTTGATTTTCGTTTACATGATAACTGACTGCTTAATCTCATATGTTCTTTTTGGTTCTCCCAGCCTTAGTAAAACTAGGTGTATTATCCATGGCTAGTTTTGTTCAGAAATAGAAAGATTTTTTATCTTGACTTTTGCATATATGCTCATCCTGTCATTCATGATCACTGCTTATGAAATGATTCAGATAAAAGTAACAAACAGCAACCTTGTCCTTAGTAACCCAGCGTTTAGTTTTCTACTATGAAATACATATTTAATTCATGGTTTTGAGTTATATGTACAGTGTTCTCAGCCCCTCAGTTTTGCTTCATGAATGGAATGAATGATAACTCGAATAAGCTTTTTAATACATTTTGCAGCTTTTTATTTTAAAAACCAGTCATTTTGGGACAAGTATATTTGAAAGGTATCAGAACAAAGAGAAAAGCGTTTATTATCAATATTATTGCCTACGTGAATTCAAGAATCAACTATAAAACACTAAGACTGATAAAAGATTTTTATTCAGTAAGATGGCCTCTTGCCAGATCAGCATTATAAAATGCATAATTTTCTTGTATTAGAAAGTGATATAAAAGTAATACATTTTACAATAGCAGCCAACATAGTACTGCATAGGGAGTAATTTGGAAGGTGTACCCCCTGCTCTTCATCCTGAGGAAGCGTGATTGTGCTTTACCATGTTCTGCTTTGTTTACTTTTCATTATTTGGACATTACAGTGAGTATGGGTTTGTGTGTAAATGTATGCATGTATTACTCGGATAAGTTAGTGTGTTTAACATTAAATAGTTTGAAACGGCTTCTCCCCTCTGCTTTGTTGTTCAGGGTGCCCAGGAACGGATAGATAGCTTGCGTAGAACCGGAGTGATTCATGAAAAACAGACAGCTGTGTCGGTAGAAAACTTCATTGCCGAATTACTACCTGACAAGTAAGACGTTTACTGTGTCTCTGAGAATCCAAGTACAGTTAGGTCTGAGGGCTCACATGAAGCCTATCAAAACATGTCTTCTATTTTATAACCAGAGGAAAGTATTTTCCGATGCAGGCTGTATCACTTAACTAGCTGTGTGTTCTGTGTAGGGTAGCTGATGTGTCTATTCTTGTTTCTCTCCTTTAATTATAAATAAATAAGAGATGGTAATATTATAGCACTAAATATAAGATGATACTGTGATTTATTGACTGGATATGATTGACCACACATAGGAACACAGTCATTCACAGTGATTCAGAACAGTGGGAGGGATGGGCAAGAAGGAGGGCCTGACGGCGGCTACTGGGTTTGAGTTTCTGCCGAGCACCATTTCTCATGTATTTAGTTTAAGCCTCTAGACAGCCTGAGTCATTATTTTTGAGAGCTCTATATTTTTAATAGATGATTTTTTTATGGGAAGATTTTTTTATTTGTTGAATTGATTTATATGAAAATAATTTCCCTTTGTTGAAATAGACTTTCTTTTGTAATCACATTGTGTTTTTTCTTTTTTTTTTTTACTTTTTGGTTTATTCAGTTTTGTATAATAATGTCCCTCACACTTGGTGTCTTTAATATGCAAAAAAAAAAGTCTTCCAGGCCTGGACATCTTACATTTCCCACAGTGTCAGTCCCCCCCCCCCCAATTCTGTTTCTCTCTCTGTTCTTCAGTTTGGACATTTTCCGTTCACCTGTCTCCAGGTTCATTAATCCTGCCTTCTGCTGTGTCCAGCCTGCTGTTAAACTCATATGTTCAATTTTACCATTTTTTGTATTGGTTCAATTTATCTACTAAATATCTGTACCTATTCCTCTCTTGGGACTTTTTTTTTTTTTTGCAGTTTTTGGCTGGGGCTGGGTTTGAACCTGCCACGTCTGACATACGGAGACGGCGCCCTACTACTTTGAGCCGCAGGCACCGCCTCTTTGGACTTTACTTCTGTTCCCTTGAATATATGAGTCCTAGCACTTTAAAATTCTCATCTGCTTATCCTATTATCTCAGTCATGAGCGCTTTAGTATCCTTTTTCTTTTTGGTTTGAATATTTGGTACTGTCTCTCTGAATGTCTAATACTACTAAATAAATAAATAAATAAATAAAAATGACCCTAGAGTAAAAGTAAACCCTGGAGTTTCGCGTTACCTTAGGAAGGCCCACTTTCCTCTGATCACCACGGGTGTAGAGTGTGAGGAAAGGAAGGAGTGGGGCTGTCTGCTCTGGTCACCATCTGAGTCGAGCCTGGGTGGGAGTTCTCACATATGGTCACTGCCTTCCTGAGAAACCCTTGTCATAATTTTAATGACGCTGCTTTTTAGGATGTCCCTGTCTGATAGTTTAGTATGTTATTTACTATAGATATTATCATACAAGTCAAGAAAAAATTGCAAAATAAAATAAACTTGGCTTTACGGAAACTTCACAAATACCTTGTCTTGACTGCGAAAGTTGTCATAAAATATGAAACATTGATTATTAGCTCAAATAAAGTACTGTCATTATTACTTAATTTGAAACACAGTTTTAGGATATGAACTGCATTTTTGTCTAGTGATTATAAATTTATGTAGCCTATAAAAACTTTGAAACTCATAATTGTGTCATAGATGGTTTGACATTGGCTGCTTGGTGGTTGAAGATCCCGTCCATGGCATTCATCTAGAAACATTTACACAGGCCACACCAGTACCTTTGGAATTTGTACAACAGGTTGGTTTTGTTTTTTTTTTTCTTTTCAGGTTCATTGTGCTTCAGAGAAACTTGCAATATTATTGTCAAAGTAAAAATTTGTGTTAGATTGTCTGTTAGAAACATGTTCTTGTTTTTACTTCATTATTACATGGCTAATAATTATTTTTCTTATTTTTTTCTTTGTTTTTATGATTATTTGATCATGATCTCTACTTTGAGGTCGGAAAAACATGACCTCTTCTGCTTGTTTTATGTCTTCTTTATTTCACATTTTATTTTCTCTGTGTCGCTTGTCTTTGGTTTTCCTCTTGAGTTCATCTTTAGTAACAAGACAACATTAGAAACCTTAGGTGATGGACACGTGTCAGTGTGATGGACACAAGGCATTTGGCTAGAAATAACCGCTCTGATCACCTTTAGCTAATAAGGATTAGAAAACCGTATGTGCCAGAAAATCGAAGCAAACGTCAGAACTGAGGATAAAACATTAGAAACCTCGTGATTATGAGGATGCTTCTGCCACTGCCTGTGTTAACGTTGCTGCAGGTCTGGGATTAGCAAACAGGCTCACAAACAAATCCGCCTGCCACTTGTTTTTGTAGTGAGTTTTATTAGAACACAGCCATGCCAGTTTGCTTACATAAGGTTTATAGCTGCTTTTGTACTACAGCAACAGAATTGAGTAGTCTCAGTGTAGGCTGGTCCACAAAACTTAAAATATTCACAATTGGGCCCTTTTCAGAAAAAGTTGGCTGACCCCCGTGTTAGATGACCATAGCAAAATAATTTTTATTTTATTTTTAGGAGCACATATTGGAAAGAAATAGACAGGGAAGAATGAAATGGTCCAGGAAAGAATGAATTGGGCCAGGTGTGGTGGCTCAGGCCTATAATCCTAGTACTTTGGGAGGCTGAGGCAGGGGGCTCTCTTGAGCCCAAAAGTTCAAGACCAGCTTAGACAACATAGTAAGACTCCATCTCTACAGAAAAATAAATGAGTTGGGAACAGTGGTACACACCTGTAATCTCACCCACTGTGAAGCTCAGAATTTGCTTGAGTCTGGGGAGTTCGAGGCTGCAGTGAATCATGATTGTGTCACTGCACTCCAGCCTGGGCAAGAACCTGTCTCTTTAAAAAAAAAAAAAGGTCACCTGGGAACTGGTTAAAAAAGTAGACCCTTAAGCCCTAACCCAGAACTACTAGATCAGGCTCTGTATTTTAGTAAAATCTTCTGGGGGTTTGTATACACGTCATATTTTGAGAAGCACAGTTCTGCATATGTTTCTGAGGACTTTAGTAATTTATCTCCTGCTTCTCTTCTTTGAAACACGGTGAAATACTGATAGTATAGTATGCATTTTGGAAGCAAATAGTAGAGCAGGGGTTCCCAATGCTGGGCTGCTTGTATCAGGTTTACGCAGGAGCTAGTTCTTAAAATACTGTACTGTTTCTTTTGCGGCAACACAAAAGTTCCTCAGGTGATTATAGTACACGGTATATTTGGGAATCACTGTACAGGTCCAGTCTACGTATGGATACACCACTCTGGCCTGTACCTAACACATTAAGCCAGAAAAACCACATCATTCTTAGACAACAAGCAATGAGTTTATTTTTCTCTCATCCTTTCATAGGTAGATTTGAGTAGTAATATATATAGATTAGGTCAAGTATAAATGATGTAGCAATAGTTTATATTGTCCTAGATTGGATATTATTTGATTGTTTGAGAATGTATTGAATCATATTAATCATATTTCCAGCAATGCTTTCTACACATTAATTGAGGAACTCTTGCCTGAACAAGTTAAGCAGTTTTCCTCTCTCTGGTTTGAGTTTTATTCCCTTAAAAAGATAACTTTGGCCCTGATTTTAGCACTAATCTCATGACTAACCTGAAGTGACACTTCGTGTAGAACTGGAACTGAAGCCCTCTAACTCTTACCTCTAGTGATGGAGTCTTTAAATTTAAGAGTTGGATTATACAACGAAATGAGCTTAATGGGGATATTTTAAACAAAGTAGATGGTGCGAAATTATTTTGATTCTTTTGTAGCTTTGTAATTGCATACAGTTGGCAGCATGGCTGTGTTTCTCCGGGTTAGTCATAATCTATATAAAAAGTCATCTGAGAGAGTTTGAAATGTCACAGTGAGTTCCAATGATTTTTTTTTCGTGTACTAAAAGTAATTATCTGTTTTATTTTTCTGCAGGCTCAAAGTCTAACTCCCCAGGACTACAATCTGAGGTGGTCAGGCCTTTTGGTGACGGTGGGCGAAGTCTTGGAAAAAAGTTTACTAAATGTCAGCCGGACTGACTGGCACGTGGCCTTCACTGGCATGTCACGCCGGCAGATGATCTACAGCGCAGCCAAGGCAATCGCGGGCATGTACAAACAGCGCCTGCCACCCAGGACCGCGTGAGGAAGGCTGGTCTAGGGCCCGGAGACATCCGCTCACTTTTAGCTCAATGTTAAATAAGACATTGTACCTTCTTAAATTGAATAGCTTTAGTGAAGCCAGCAATTTTTATAATTTTCCCGTAGGCTGCAATTTTTCTTTTTCTAGAAAGGCATGATGTCATTCAACAGATGAAAAGAAATCCTTTTTGTAATAATCTTATTTCAGATATCATAGTTCTCAAAAAAGAAAATATACAAATACATTTATAGCACAATTCAGTACATTAAATTTATAAGGTGGAAATTCACGTGCAGAGACATTAACTTAATGATACGTTCTTGATTATTTTGCTTTTTTAAAGAAGACCTAGTTAAAGGGTCTGTTTATTGAGTATTCATTCTCTAACGGATTATTTCTTTTTGCTTCATTTCTTCCCTGTTAATCTTTGAAGCTTCTGTATGTGCATGTGACCTCAGGTCTGCAGTGCGCTCCACAGTTTACCCTAAGACCCCTCCTTGTGGGGACAGGTCACACATTTCTATGTGTGTTTTAACAAAATGGGCCAAATTAGCGAATCGATCATTTCCTCCTCTGGTCATCGTGTGCGTACACATATCATCTGGAGAATTAAACTTTTTTCTTTTTCCAAAATTTTTGGCATTTCACAAATTTGTACTATAAACGTTGGGGTGATACGTTTTATTTTTTCATTGTTTTGTGGCAGCAAAGGGGCAAATGAGTCAAGTATATTTTAAATCAGAATTACTTGTGTTATTTTTGTATAGTACTTTTTCAGTACTTGGAAGAATAAACTTTGACAACAGCCACTGTTTCTGCTTCCACTCCTATTCCCTAGACGATGGTGGAGAAATTTTTGCGAGGGTGTTATTTTGTTGCTTCTGGGATGGTATACCTGTTAGTGTAATTAAAGTTGCTCCTTAGTCTGCCTTAAACAGTGCTGTTCTAACCTTGTGCCCTTCTGCCTTTCCTTTCATGGATGTTTTCAGAGAAACTATTTTATATCCAGTCTGGTTTCTTTAGTTATGTTTATATTTAGTGAAAGCATTCTCCCCTTCAAATAATATATTTTAGCATTTTTAGATTTATATGAATCAGAATTAAATAAGTTTTTTTATTATATTGTTGAACTTTATACGTGCAAGTTGAGATAACTTTTTGAAGATCATTTCTTATATAAATATAATTTAATTTTTATTTACTCTTCTCTATAGTACTTTCGATATAAAGGAATTAGTATACTCTCTGGCAGTTTTATAAAAGGTTTTGAAGCTCTTATCCTGCACTATCTCTCTATATAAGGTTTGCTTTGTATTAATGTTATTTCAGGTAATTATGTGGGTTTTTTCCTATTTTTACCTGAGGATGAGAATTCAATATTAATTTTGAAACTATGATCTATGTTAATTTCCAAGCACTGTGTAAGACTGGATAGTGAAATTCAGACTTTGTTGTCATTAAAAGTAATGAGAAACAGAGAAGAGATGTGACAAGTTGTGCTTTGTTGCAGGGTCGTAGGGACAGAATACTCTTTTCCCCTTCCTCATAGGCAATGATAAGCCTTTCTCTACCATTTGCCCCTGTCTCTTATTTTACAAAGCTGTCCCTTTCAAACAGCGTTTTATCATTGCACTGGCCTGGTGACAAAAACACAGGATTTCATCACCTACTGAAGGAAAGTACGCCTCTACGGAAATATTTCTTCTGCCTTACGTCCTGTAATAGAGCAATTTTACATATCCTGAAAATAAGTCTGAGTTTTTCTTTTTATTTTACTATATCTCAGATAACTTTCTTGATGTTTTTGAGGGTTGGTCCAATAGAATCACAAACGTTGATAATGTGTCTCCTTAGATGACAGTTTTCCCCCAGATCCCCCAGTAGCAGTGGCAGTTACTCCATGGCTTGGTTGAAGCCAAATAATTTTCCTGCACCTGATGACCTGCTAAGCCTCCTGTTCTTTGGAACAGTGTGAGTTGGCGAGGAGGATTAGAGAAGGGCAGATGGAGGAGAGGGATACGTGATCTGGCCTGGCCCTTCTGATTCTGTTTTTGGCCCGGAGTTCTCTCTGAAAGGCTCCAGAGCGTGACCGACTCCACATGCTCAGCTCACTCACTCTGGTTTGTTTAGTCCTTAGTGTTCTCTGCTGTCCGGGGGCAAGGAAGGTAAACCCCGTCTCTAAAGCACCAGGCAGCTTGGCCAGGCCGCCTTAGTGGTGGGGTTTAGGCATCAGATACGCACCGGGCAGCTTGGCCAGGCCACCTTAGGGGTGGGGTTTAGGCATCAGATACGCTGGCCATCAGTCGAAGGCGCACTTCCCTTTCCTAGTCATTGGCCCCTGTGTTTTCCTTCCTGCCCGTTTTCTGGGAACTTCCACACTAGCATTTGGGGAGGGTGGTGGCGGGGGCACCATTTGCTTTTTGCTTCCCTTCAGCTTCTTGGGAAAACCCATTTTTAGCATAGTTTTTCGCCACTGTTTTTGTGGTGGTTTTGTGACATTTGTTTTTTCCTGAAGATTTCCAGGTTACTGAAGGTGCTCAAATTATTCTGTTCAAAATCCTTCCATTTTTTAGTCTTATTTTTTGAGATGGAGTCTCACTCTGTTTCACAGGCTGGAGTACAGTGGTGTGGTCCCAGCTCACTGCAGCCTGAGTCTCCGGGGCTCAAGTGATCTTTGCTCATCAGCCTCCTGAGTAGATAGGATGACAGGTGTGCACCGGTCCCACGGCCACTGTGCCCGCTAGTTCTTTTTTGTAGACACAGCGTCTCTTACTACGTTGCCTAGGCTGGTCTCAGATGCCTGGCCTCAAGCAGTCCCCTCACCTGGGCCTTCCAAAGTGCTGAGTCTGTAGGTCTGAGCCACCGTGCCTGTCCCGGGTCCTTTCATTACGATTTCGAGGTAATCCCAGACCTAAGTTGTGCCAGTCTTGGGAAGGTGGAAAGCTTTAGGCAATCCTAGTAGGTTCCTCCGCCTAGTCTCCTGTCTTTACTATTTCCCATTCTTTGTTCTTCTTTCTCTTGAGGGGTAGTTATGTCAAAAATTGAGATGAATGAGTATGGACAAAGTGATAGTGTATGTGAGAGTACACATGAAAGTATCACACATATCTATCCAAAATTATGCAAATTAGTAGTTACTCAGGGTCAGCTAAAGTACTTTAATATGCTGTTGAATTTATTCTGTTCCTTGCCTAGAAAAAGATCATACACAGGACTTTGTGATTTATGAAACCAAATTGATAATATTCTGTTCTAAAAGTTGTTGGGTTATATATACATTATTAAGAAATGGGTTTTTTACTCCCAGGATATGGGATTCATTTTATGATATTCTGCAGGATATGATGTATTGAATAAGATCAATTTTGTAAGTATGTAAATATTTCGCAAATAAATAATACTTTGACTTAATTCCCAAAGGTATGTATCGTGATTTTTAAAAGTACTAATTTATGTTTATATTATATTAAGAAGACCCATATTCCTTTTTTGTCTAAATGTGTTACTGGCTTTCAACTTTAAGCACCATCTTTTTGTGGAACTGTAACATTCAAACAGATAAAACATTCAACTTTGACCTAAAGTTACTAACTTTAAGGTCAAACAGTATTTGGGGGCAGGTGGGTGGGTTCGTTGGAGATAAAGATGTTAAGGTCTGTGTTTATGAGGGGAGGGTGTTTTTGGGAACTGGATTTAATTTACCCTTGATCTCCAGAAGTATCTTTTTTTTTTTTTTTAGACCCACGATTTTCGGTGCTTTTTCAGGTTCACAGCAAAATTAAGAGGAGGCTAGAGGAGAAAGGTGCAGAGATTTCTCATGCAATCCCCACCCCTAGACATGCCTATCTGTTCCTCTTACTCACATCCCCCACCAGGCTGGTCCATTTGTGATGAATCTACGTTTGACACCATGCAAAGTCCATAGTTTACTTTAGGGTTCACTCTGGGT